TACGGTTGGATTTCGAGGATCGATCGACGCCACGGGACGACAGTCAGTCGTTTCGAGGCTGCCGAGTTGACCGGGTGTCGTTGAGCGACCAGAGCCGTACCGGTTCTGCCCTCTCCCTCTTTCTTTTCCGAAGTAGCCAGCCTGTTTGCCGCTACTCGCGCGCGCCTATCATCGTCTCGCTTCTCTTTTTTCTCTACGCGTGCACAGTGTTCACGCACAGTGAGGGACCATGAAGAGTGTCACGACAACCACGGCCACCAGTCTTCTCTTCCTGGCGCTGATCCGTAAGTTCTGTTCATTCTCTCTCTTGGCTCCGCGATCAATCGCGATCAATCGCGGCGTGGAATTGTTCTCGAAGCTCTTGTCCGCGGAGCCGTGTCACGATCCGTTGTACTCGATCGAGCCGAAGCTCCAAGAAGCACTCAAAGGCATTTCAAAGTGTGTCGCAAATTGGCGCAATTAAATTCGCCGCTCGCTGATTCGTAGTTTGGAACAACGACGCAGAGGATTCAAAGTTCGGACTTGCTCGTTGTATTCTCTCGGATCGTTTCGCGGATCGCAGCATCGGCAAAAGGAGGTAAAATAAATGTCCGCTTGGAACCCCTTGGCTGGTCATCGATTTCATCCGAGAAACACGCTTCAAATCGCCGACGATTCTCTGCGTTTCGAGTGGCGGGACAATACTTGCCGATCGGTTGGCAACACTCTCGCGTGAGAATAGCGAACGTTTTCGATTTCGCACTGCCAGAGAACCGGCGAGAGATTAGTCAATCGATGCTCCGGCCTGTTTGTTTGTCGTTCTATCGTCACTCTGTCGTTGTATACGTAGGGGGCAAAAATGCGATTAACTTCGAAAAGCAAACACATACACTGGGCGTAACCTGGTTCTCTCGTTGGTACTTGTAACAACCCTTCTCCCACGGCTAATTTCCTCTGTGTTCTTTCTCCGCGATTTCGCTTCGTTTTCCGCCGGCGTGTGTCGGCATTTTCCAGCACTTTTCGACCACGCACCGCGATTCTTTTTATCATGGACCCCTCTTAAAAATAGATTACCGTTCCTCTGCTGGATATACGAACCAACGCACCGCGCAAAAATAGTACGTAAATAAGCTGTTTTTAGCGTTCCTCTTGCCCTCTTGTTGTTCACTCGTCGTCCGTCAGAGAATAAACGTTTCGGCTCGATTGATCCCGCGAATGATGATGATTCTCGTCTCGGCAGACAGAATTCGTCAGAGAACAGACGAAAGATGAAAAGTATTTTCTCGGAACTTCGCGGCGCGCAGTTATCGTTCTTGTGGCAGCAATCGTTATCGTCGGACGCTTTGCGGTTTGGCCGAGGAAAAAGGAAGAAAGGGAATTATCAAGGAAAGATTTCTGCTACTATTTTCTCACCGTATCACCGGCCAACGGCTACAACTTTCGAACACAAGCGTTCTTACAACGAGACAGCAACTTTTGCTTTCTTTTTCCCCCGAAACGTTTCTTTTCTCGACAAGCGCCAAATTTCCGAAACTCGTAGCTTCGTGAAAAACAGCTCGTTGTAATTCGCGAGCAAGTTGAGACGTTGAAACGTTGACGCTCGAGTGTATTCACGGGTGGACAAAGAGGCACGTCTGCGGGATTCCCTGGATAATTACGCACAGGGAGTTGCAGAGGCGATCGAGAAAAGCACGCAAACAATTAACGGTGAAAAATTTAATCTTCGCATGACCGTGCCCCATTAGCGACGTATTAATAGTTCTAATTAGCCTAATTGACCCGGTCTCGGATCGATACGTGAAATTTTCTATTTAACAACGACAAATATGAGGTGCGCGTTAGCGGATTAATTAACGAGCTACTGTCACTTATAAATGGGCTGTGGAAAG